GGGTGTTACGAGGAGAACCTTGCGGTGGGAAGGAGTGTTGAGCAATATGCGTAACTTACATATAACAGTAAGTAGATACATATAAAAAGTAAAGCATGGGCGATTTAAATAAATTGTAGAAAATACACTTCTGAAATAATGGTTCGTAATTGGTCACGAACGCGACGTCAAAAGTTAGGGGTGGGGGAATTTCACCCTAATATCTTATCGGAACTCCATTACGAAATGGTGGGTGGTGGCACATAAATCGTGTTTTTTTCTGCGTGATTTTCTGTGTCGGTTAGTTGCCGTAGCCACGTTTCTTGCGTTCTTCAGATTCTTTGTGATTTGTGTTTTTGAGTGTCAAGTGCTACGGTGATGAGAACAAATGTGGCTTTTTTACGCGTTTCGCCGAAGGGGGTGTTTGGCTGTCATTGAAAGGGCGCAAGATCGTAGTTTGATTGCTGCAGGATTTACGTGTGCTGTGACCTATGAGGTTGGCCAAGCGAAAGTTGTGTGATGTTGCAGCAAGTGCAGCAAGAAAGGGGCCACTACTCATGTGCGTAAGTGTTCCGTGCGGAAGGGGTCATGGTATGCGGGAAGCAAGTTGAGTATAATTCAGGTATTAGAAATGACCTATCTTTGGGTTATACAACCGTCAGACAAACCGCCATAAAAATCGTCTATCGGTATGTTTTATTCATTTGTCAGAGCGCTTAGCGTAATTTGTAGGAGGGCTAGAGGAGCCCTCCTCCCCTCCCCCACCTCACCACGCCACCACACTTCTCTAAGTGTGTACCGTGTACCCTACTTTAACCAAAAGCAAGCACTTTTCAAGAAAGCCTCCAGAATCCAAACTGCGCAGCTGCAAACACATTGTGGCGAAAGAACACTATTAGTTTTGTTTATCACACCACACCACGATCGCAGCACTATTTCAAAATGGAGCTCTGAAAAAATACCAGGTGAAATTGCTTCCCTTAACTTATGAATTCACGTTCGTGGCCAATTACGAACCCCTCGTCTCCTGCACTGTTGATTTCCCCCTCGCCAGTGCGGCGCGAAGTGCCGGTTTAAACGACTTCCTTAAGTTGCACCGTATTCTAGACTTCAACCAATATACTTAAGTAAGAACTCAACTTCTTATATATTAATACGAATTAGTAGTCATACACTATTTCTACCGTTTGTGTCCATGACCAAGCAGAGAATCCCAGATACCCAGAACCATCCTGTAATTCCTGTAGAAATCTGCAAGCACCAAGATAAGCTCACAGGCTCCCTCTAGCTTATTGGAATGTTCTAGCTGGAATAGCTATACAGCTCCCTCGGAGATGAGGCTTTCTGGGACGCAGGGTGCCTGAGGCTGGTCTTCACCCAGGCAAGAGGCATGGTAACAGGATTCTAGGCTCCTCTAGATGGCAGTCAGGTAAACAGTTGGGGAAAACCAGCCATCAGTAAGCTAGTAGTACTAAAACAGCACGTACTTTCTTGCGATATTGTTAATGGCTGTGTAATATTATAATTTGACAATTTCTGTCTTACACTGCAACTACAATTTGAAAAATTTTTAAACAAACGAAGCGTGATATATATATATATATATA